CTAGGCTAGGCAATTTTATTGTTAAAATTAGTGAGAAACTGAGACTATCTAGTTAGTTAAATAGTTAATTAAATTAATGAGTATCAGTATCTTAGATATATGATGATATGAATGTATATCATTCATGATTGTGATAATAATAACTAACTACTAGACTACTACTAATTAATTACTCACTACTTTACTAACACTAATAATTAAATTACTTATAAATAACTACAGGCTGATACGTAGAGCCTATATAAGAAAACTGGTATGACTGATAGCCACTTAGCCACTGATTATCCGTCTTTACATTATTATAATATATTAATATAAATTAATTAGTAGAATTACCTCTACTATTATTTAACTTAAACATTATAATTATAATCTAATCAAACATTTAAAGTTAATTATCTTTATCTCAAGTGTTAAACCGAACCAAAATTAAGTTTACTACCTAAATGTATAAGAAGTTTTACTGATTTACTGTATAGTGACCAGTCTAAATAATAAAAGTTTCTTAAGTATTTAAAAAAAATGTTTTATTTCTTTAAAAAAAACCATAAATTACGGGATAGATAGATAGATAACATTTTATTGCACCAAAAATACATCTGCGCTGGATCCAGCTGGAATGATGTTGATCAAGCAAAAATCAAGCTAGATTGATAACACTGCTAAATTGCAATCCCTAACTATGATAAGTTAAAAGATATTTATAGAATTTTGTGAGAATCTGGGATTTAATAGAAATATTTGTTAAAATTTTACTCTGAAATTTAAATAAGTTGGAAAAATTATCAATCTTTGACTTCTGACTCAGTGAGAAAGACATTTAGTTGTTCCCAAAACCGATAGTTCCAGAGGGGCGACCCTCATGAACTATCTATAGGATCACCCGACTTCTTTCTCTTGACTGAAGCATGGCGTGACATTTCAATAATCGTATTGAATGCCAATTTTGTATAAAAAAGCAAAGTCACCTTCATCCTTGCTTTAGTTGTGTTTAGTCATGCTCTAGTCATAGATCCTTTTTTGGCACCCTCACGGAGTATCCAACGGATCAGTAAATCATCCTCCCAAGATTCCGAGTATGTAATCCCAGGATCTAATCAATTCTCCATATTTCATTATGTATGGACGTCAGATAATATAGCCTTTTTATTTGTAAACTCTCGGTAGAACTAGAGGTTTGGGTGTACTGTAATCTATACTACTATATAAAGAGACAACGTATTTTTCGTTTGTGACCACTAACCGTGAAAACTACTGAATCAATCGTTACCAAACTTTAACTGTAGCATCTTTATGATCCCTGGAATGTTTACCATTAATCAAACCTACAGATTTTTTATTAATTAAATAAAACTGCAACGGATTTTTGTCTGTCTATTTCTCTCTGTCTCCTCAATAGATGACGACACACGTTGTCTATAAGAAAATGTTATTATTGAAGTTTACTATTATATTTGAAGAACTGACATTAAATTATAATTAGTTAATTAGCAAAATCTTTGAGGAATTAAAAAAGTGACGCCATAACGCTAGATGGCCATATGTGTACAGTACTTATGGCGGGTTTTCGAATCGTTTCTGCAGGTAATTGTACAAAATATTCGAAATAGTTATTGGTGAATATTTTTGAGATTGATTGATAAATAATGCGGAGAGCTGCAAGAGCACAAATAGGAAGGAACAGTTCATAATTGTAGACGACGTGAATCTACACTTCTAGAGCAAAGACTGGAAGGGCTACGAATTCGTTCGGCTCAGAATCGAATGCGTGTAGCGAGGAATTTTTTACGTTTCACATCAATATAACTTATTCAGAAATTTTATGATTTTAGTTTTTTATATTTTGCAAAAGTCTACTGCAATACTACACATTGATCACTCAAAAATAATTAATGAACAATTAGTTCAAATTTTCTAAGTTCTATATGTATATAAGAGCGGGCAGGTCGCGACGGGGATGCTAGTATCACAATACAATTAATTGTTGGACTTATACTGTATGTTAACTTAGTAGTAAGATGTATGCAAATTTAATTGTCAAAACATATCTGGACGATAATTCTTCGACCGAATATATAAAGAATAAGTTTCTCAAAACAATAAATAATAAAAAATATCAGTTAATTGATGATCAATGTCAAAAACGTAAATCATTAATAACAATTATTAATATTAAATTTAATACCAGCAACGAATTGCTCAACTTTTCCCGGCAACATTTTATGGCATCATCTGTTACGATATTTTATTTTAAAATTTTAATATTTTTAACTACAGTATTATAAAATGGTAGAAAGCTTAATTTTGAGGGTAGGGATGGGATTTATTTAAAAATTATAAATGCTAATAACGAGTAAAATCGTCATTAAGGTCGACCCTATTGGAGATTCACACGATTTCCATTATCTCCCAAACCCCTCGACCTTTAATTAACCATCAAACTCATGGCATCAATCCGCCTAACAAACAAATCTCCCTACAAAATTTCTGAAATCTATATATATATGAATGAATGTATGTCTACGTGTGTGTCTGTATGTCCTTCATGCATTACCACACCGTTTATCCGATTGCCATGAAACTTTGGGAAGTTTTTTAATACACTCCCGCGAAGGTTTCTGACATAGTACATTTATCCTACGATAGATGGCGCGCGTTTATATGAGAATATCATTGTGTTCGATCGATTTCAAATTGTGAAGACCATTTCTCCCCCTTCAAAAAATATCTCTATATATGCATTTTTGAACTGTTATTTACGATATTTGTAATAATTTTTGTTTAATCACTTTATCTCAATTGTTTTTTTGCTAATTATGTATTCGCTCGAACTTTGTTAAAACCTTAACCGTATCCCGAACAACAACCGAAGTTGTAGGAGGAAATTCGCCTATTTTACCGATCTAGGAATCCCCCTTTTCCAAGTTTTAATATCGACTCAAAATAATTTAAAAAGACAAATTACAATAAAACGGTTTATTATCCAACTATCAGAAATTTCACAACACGCCAAGGAAGAGAGGAAGGAGCAATTAAATAATTAAAATTATAAAGGATTAAAAAATATATAAAAATGGGGAATATCGCACTTCTGACAATCGCTGCAAGTGTACGGGCTAAATTTGAAGAATCCGTGCTTCTCGCGTGGACAACTGTATGTGGCCAGCTCACGCATCGGAAAACCTTCTGATTTATTCGTGTACGCACCAGACGGAAAAACAAAAAATATCGTGTATCCACAAGCACTCCAATAAATAAATAAAATTGAAACGACACTTTGAAATGTTTTCCCGATGAAAATGAATAATAATAATAAGTTTCAATAAAAATAATAAAACGTAAATTGAATTTTATCATAACGAGTTGGCTTGAATTTCGTTTCTTCTGAGATCGCAGCAATGCGCGACGGATAAGCTAGTATTCGATAAAAAGCTTCAAACAGGTTGAACGAATTCGTGCTTCCTCACACACATACTAACATCAATACATACAGAAATTAACCCATGTTTTGCACTTTTCGACGTTTTAAAGGGGTCCCAAGTGAAAAAAAAAAATGTAAAAACCTTGGGTGTCATTTTCTGACCGATCACCATACTTTCCCTGTATTATAACAACCAGGAAAGTAATATCACTAATGTGACAAAATGTAAGGACATCAGTACAATAAAATCTCCCTGTTAACCGTTTTTCGAGCAGTGAAATTCTCCCGAAAAACTCATTATAACGACGAAACTTTGCTTTTTTCCCCTCCTATCCGGCTATGTTATATATACATAACAGAGGAAAAGTATGGCAATCGCTCAAAAAATAATTCCCCTCCCTAGATTTTAAAAGTTTTGGACTCGGGAAATCTTGAAACGTCGGGAAATAAAAGAAATTCGGAGGTTTTTTCTGTGTATGGATGTTAGTGTGTGTGAGTCACAATTTTGTTCATCCTCTTTGAAATTTGTGTTTTTTATCGGAAATTTATGAAATTTTGCAAGGAGGTTAGTATATTAAAGGGATCGATGTATTAAATTTTAGTCGTTAAAGGTCGAGGGGATGAAGAGATAAAGGTAAGTCGATTGTCGTATCTCGAATAGGCTTGGACTTAATGACAATTTCACTCATTAGTGTTTGCAATTTTTTATGAAACTAATCCCTACCCTCAAAATTAAGCTATTTGCCATTTTATAATAATCAAAATTATAAAAAGTTTTTAAAAATAAAATATCATAACAGATTTAATTGTTGCCGGAAATTTCGAGATAGAGAGGGAGTCATTTGTCATATCTCGAATTTGGTTGGACTTAATGAAGATTTTACTCATTATTAGCATTTACAAATTTTTTAATAAAATACATTTCTGCCCTCAAAATTAAGTTTTTTTCCATTCTGTAATAGTAACGTATTTTTTAAGAATAAAATTTCATAACAAATGGCGATACACACAATTTTAAAGATTGCCCTAGAAAGTTACGCCACTCGTTGCTAGATTTGTTTTAAATGCAGGAAAATCTTTACCATAAAGTAATAATGATGTGTGGTACGTTTAAAAATATAAATTAGAAAACATCCAACATTATGAAGAACATGAAACAATAACAAATTAAGTGAATTCGGCAAGTAAAAATGTATTAAACTGAGAAATGATGTTTACTACATGTATTATATATAGAGCAATAATAACAAAGATATTTATATAAACTATTTTTATTCCTATACATTAATTCAATACATACATTTAATTTTATAAATGACATTTCGATAAACTGCATTAGTTCAAAAAAAAAGGAACGACTGTTACAATAGTTAGATTATCGTGCAGCGACAATATTAATTTGTTTCTTCCAGGGAACACGAACGGAGTCGGCGATACTTAGAATAATGGGTAAAACAATTAAACCATTAAACATTGAGAATATCATAACTAAAACATTTACCTTAAAAAATACAATAAACAAATAAGACGGTCCGAAAAAACAAATTAATGCTCCGATGACAGTAGATAAACATCCTTGAATAATCGGGTATCCTATGCATTGCAAGGATGCTTTTATTTTCTCAGAAGGATCTGTTTCTTTGCAATTTTTGTAAGCGTGAGCAATGTGCACCGAGTAATCAACACAAAATCCCGCGCTCATAATTAAAAACGTCACAGAAATAAGATTTAAACCCACATTCCAAGCACTTCCATAACCCAAAGTTTCTACTTGAATACAAATAACCATAAATAAAACAGCAATGCTGTAAGATATGTCAGAAATAAGTGCAAAGAATATTACAAATACCGACACAATAACGATTCCTATTGCTTTCAAGTAAATTGTAGGCATATTTAAATACTGATCGTACAATACAAACCACATGTTATAAACAAACACGTCATATTTGCTATCAGCTGCGATTTTACGTAAGTTTTCAATTAAGAATTTTTCATCACTTCCGCTTCTAACGTTGCGATAAGTAAGTAAACATCTAGATGAAATAATATGGTCGCGTTCATTATTCCACACGACATCAGTTTCAAATATTCTATTGTGAAATTTTAAAAACACTTTCTTCAGTCCGTCCAGAAATCCCCGCGTTGTATTTGCATCAAAATCTTTAATCATGTAATTTATTCTAGAATCGCGAATATAAGACAAATATTCTCTCAACCAACATTCGGTGTAATTGGGTCCAGTCATGTAAGGAGCACTTTCGAATGCCTTTAAAATGTTTTCTATATCCGTTTGAACAGTTGGATTTGAGTAGTCGAGAGTTTCATTGAACACCAGTTGTACTCTGTGAGAATATTCGGTGAAATATTGATAATGTATTTTGGTATATTTAGCAGCGTATGAGTTAAATGGAAAAATATCAGTATATTCAATTCCTTGTTTTATTGAATTAATATTGTAAATTGCTCCTGCTAATAGAGAAATGAATGAAAACATTACTATTATTTTGGTAACTTTGTTACTCAGAAAAGTACCCAGATATTCGGGAAAATTTTTTATAAACTTGAAAAATTTCAGAACATCTTCGTTGCTGGTCGATTTTCTTTCTAAAAAATGTAAATTAAATTTAAATAAATCAAATAATAATGATAATTTAATGCTAAATTATTATATATTATTAATACAACAAACTTATATTAGGTTTGCAATTTATTTAATAACGTGCTGTAGAGATTTAAGCATTCATTGAATTTCCAAAACGAGAACATTAATAATAAATCGGGGCGCAGTCTTCTTTGTAGGTGCTGGTGTGTTTATTCGGCTATCCGCTTTTACAAGTTGAAGTGAAACTTTCAAACTTTTGTAAGCAAAACACTCAATTTTCACAGGCCCTATTTATCGGAAACTCTTGAAAAGTATGTCCTGTTATTTGGACAAAGAGCAGTTTGTGTTTAGGCTATGTGATTACAAAGTTCCATTGGAATCGGAGACTCGAACGACTGGCCCCCTCCTTGTCAGAATTACTTAATGTATAGGTAAATGATCGAAAAAATTATTAGTGATTATTTCAGAATTTATCAGAGAACTCTCGTTTATTAAATGCAATTCTTGACTGTGTGAAGCACGAATCATACGAAGAATCAAAGAAAGCAATGGTGTTGATTACTTGTGTTCCATTTAACTTGAAAAGGAGAAATATTAAAACGTTAGAAAAATATTTATAGTATATTTGATGTCTCAGATTAGAGACGGGAGATGCTTATAACAGAAAATATTTCCTTGGAAAACAGAACGATACACATAAATAATTTAACACAGGCTAGAAAACAAAAAGTTGCATATTTTAAAGGCGATATACTAATGTTGAGAATGCTCACAAGGATAGTAAGAAACTAGAGGAATACGTTTGTGCAACCAAAGAAAACTTAAAGGCGTTGTGGTTGAGTCTTTTGAAAATTGGTTATTTGAAGTATGTTGGAAAAAGAAAGCGTTTATTTTTGTTTACATTAAGTTAGAATTGATATTTATGTTAAGCAATACATGTTAGTGGAGATATTGTATGATAGTTGTTATCAGGAAGAGGAAATATATTTGATGGACGTTTTCAACGGAAGAATAGAGACTTTCAATAAGATGGTGTTAGCCCCTTAATAGATTGTTATATTTATATTTCTGAAGATAAATGTATTAATAAGATTGAATTGAAGTTAGTATGTCAATTGAAAAGTTCGATGGTTGTAAATGGGGCAGTCAAGAATTATGCGCAGGGTAAACATACTTTTATTTTATACTTGGTTAAGAGTGATTGATTATTTGTGTATAAACGGCTTAGCCGCAAAGAATTTAAAGTGTTCTAGTACAACTGACTGTGCTGAATCCGATCATATGACGCTGTACTTAGAAACCACTGCTACGAGTTTGAAAAAAGTTTATCACAGACAATCGGATAAGATCAGAAAAAGATGGATGAAGGATTGAGTGGAGTTTTTTGTAAGTGAAATGCATATAAGCTGGAATAGTTAGTTTGATTTCAAGATAACAGAGACGAAAGTGCTAACAAGGTTGATGCTGGGTATAATAGAGAAACTGAGAGATTGAGAGAAAAAGAGATTACGCTCATTCAGGCATGAACCAGAGTAGTTTCATAATTTATGTTCGGAAAAGTAGAGTGATATGAGAAATAAGCTGAGGAAATGAAAGCGATTGGGTAAAGAGTGGAAATTAAAAGAGTGTTATGAAAACTTTTTAAAGGTTTTTTAAAAGCAAAAAAGAATATCTGATTAATTTTAATCGACTGTTTACAAGTTGTAAGTCAACCAAACCTTTTTGGAGTATATTCGTAAATTGAAAGATAACGATGGATTGTATTTTGCGAATAATATCAAAACAAAATTTCAAAATGCTACTGTTTAGTTATAATTGAGATAAATAAATTATTAGTTATTACACCTGGAATATATTCGGAAAGTTGAAAAATGGGTCGAATAATTTCAGCTTTTATATCAAGAGAGTTAAATAGCCGGAGCAATTATCGAGGGATAACGTTATTAAATACTGTTAATTAATTCATTAATTAATTAATAAGTGTTTTTTTTCCGGTGGTTCTTTGTAAGAGGCTTTTATTCTGGACTGAGAAACAGAGAATCTTATTTGATATGCAAGCCGGTTTTTGTAAAAAGTATACTACAGCGGATCATATATTTTTCTCGCGGAATTAGCTAAAAGAAAGAATGGAAAAACAAAATAAAGTATACATATATTTTGTGGACTACAGAATTGCATCTGACTCGGTGAACCATATAAAATTATGTAATAGGTTATGCGACATGAATCCGAGCTATAAAATGGCGAATTTACTAAGTTCAACGTGTACAAATAAGATTGCATTGAGGTTCTTTAGTGGAATGTCCGTGAAAAGTTTTTAATCCAACAAAGGAGTTCTCCAATGGTGTCTATTGAGCACATTACTGTTTTCTTTATATATATTGATGATTCAGTAACAAGATTGGATGAATTTATTGCCGAAAGTTAATGGTTTATGACTAGGCAATAACACATATATTAAGGTTCTGATGACGTGGTGATGGTGGCTGATAGCCATAAGAATTACAATTGGAAATTAATGGTTTGCTAAGAGATTTCATACATATGGATTTTCAAATTATTTAAAAAAGAAAAAAAAACCAAGATTCTGGTCTCTCAAAACAAAAATAGACGATCAAATAAACGTATATAGCTTTTGGATAAAGAAATTGAAGTGGTCGAAAAATATATGTATTTGACAGTATGGTATAAATATATTCTTAAAATAAAATAAATTTTACACCGAAAATATAAATTTTCGGATGAAAAATTAATTTGTAAATATCGATTTTCTTTCTTTAGTTTTATTTTAATTTTTCGTTTTATTTTTCGAATTTTATTTATTGGATAACTTGTAAAACAAAATATTTTCAAAGAAATATTTTTCTTTTACCGTCAGAGAACGTGTCTAGTTACAGTATTTCCATTTTTACGCAAGATATTTGATCAGCTCGTGACGAAGATTTGTATTACAAACTCTCATAGAATATTTCAGAAATTACATTAGCCAACATAGAAATTGCATTACCTTATACGAATCCAAAAAGCGTACAGCAGGTATACAAAGTAGCATATTTATTCTATTTATTCGATTTGTAATGATAACATACATATTGAAAACAAAGGAAAGAGAATAAACCAAAACACACAATTTATTAGATATAACAATATGTCGAATTTAATTGTAATTTCATATTATTCTCACCTATGTTGTTAATGAACACTGAGCAAAAATTTGTCACTTAAATAATATTTCTCGTTAAATTACACATTCGAAGGGCACCTCGAGCCTTAATTACAGCTTTAAAGCACTACGGGATAGAGTGAAATATCTTCATGTATTTTGTACAAAACTCCATAGTCTGAGCTGTAAGAGAAGACTTATAACTCCAAAATCATCGATGCCCAGACACGATAACTCGACGAAATATCACCCGATTTTTATTAAACTCGATAGGCCTTCTTAGTATAACAAGTATTATTGATTAACTTTTTAGAGGAAAAATCTATCAAACATTTACGTAATTATTAGAAATAAACATGTAAATAGTCACTAACAATTACATTTACGTCAACAGATGGCCTCAACTATATTACTTATAAGTTAAATAAAAAAAATTAAACTTTTACCTGCCGTATCTTTTCGAACAGGATATAAAAATAGAGAGTGAAGATTATGCTTTTCTCTGTATCCGTCGATTGCCATCACCGCACCAAAGAAAAATATTTGATAAATATAGTCGAATAACACGGAAATGGCGCTGTATATACTGAAGATACGAATGTTTCTATAAGGAGTTATAACTCCTAAAATGAATGATATAAAATTGGTTAATGAGGTTATCGTTATGGAAATAGAAACATCAGAAAAGGTTTCACTCATTCTTTGTTTGACACTGTGGTTTCTATCCGTTCGTCTCCAAGCAGCCAGCAATACGAAAGAATCGTCCATCCCAATGCCTTCAAAGAGAAATTTGATTAATAAATTCTCTAAAAAATTTTTTTAAAATTTAATTACTGAAATTTAATAGCTTCTAACTCTATACAAGTTACCATGACAAATTTCGTTTATTAATCTTTGTTCTTTCCTAAGATATTAAACGAAATAGACGTCAACACACACATACGAAAACTTTTCCTGTTTTTTTTTTTCACTTTTCGGGGTTCAAAACATTTGCAAAATTTTTTCGATTTTTTCGATTGTGTTTCGATTTGCTACGATCCCAATACTTTTCCTTGTTATGTATATGTTAGGGCCAAAGATCGGAAACAATCGCTGAACGAAAAATCAACCACAACGAATTTTGACATCCCAGATCCACCCACAATGCGAATTTCGAGTCGTGTCACTTTCAAAAATGCGCACAATGAGTTTGTCACATATAATAAGACCACAAGGCAAAATTCGTATCGAGATTCTTTTAATTAATAATCAACCAAACGCTATCTGCCAACGTGAAAATGTCACAACGCGAAATTCACATTGTGGCTGTATGTGATAATTCAGAACCGGATTTTGTCGAATTTTTCGTTCAATGAACGTTTTAGGTCTTTGAATCTAACATAAAGATAACAGCCGGGAAATTAACATTATTGATATTTTATAATTAAAAATTGAAAGCAATTTTGCTCGTTTANAGAACACTTTTCTCAGTCCGTCCAGAAATCCCTGCGTCGTGTTCACATCAAAATCCTTAATCAAGTAATTTATTCTAGAATCGCGAATATAAGTCAAATATTCTCTCAACCAACATTCTGTGTAATTGGATCCAGTCATGTAAGGAGCACTTTCGAATGTTCTTAAAATGTTTTCTATGTCCATTTGAACAGTTGGATTTGAGTAGTCGAGAGTTTCATTGAACACCAGCTGTACTCTGTGAGGATATTCGGTGAAATATTGAGAATGTATTTTCATATATTTTGCAGCGTATGAGTTAAATGGAAAAATATCAGTATATTCAATTCCTTGTTTTATTGAATTAATATTGTAAATTGCTCCTGCTAATAGAGAAATGAATGAAAATATTACTATTATTTTGGTAACTTTGTTACTCAGAAAAGTACCCAGATATTCGGGAAAATTTTTTATAAACTTGAAAAATTTCAGAACATTTCCCTTGCTGGTCGATTTTCTTTCTAAAAATGATTAAATTTAAATAAATCAAATAATAATGATAATTTAATGCTAAATTATTATATATTATTAATACAACAAACTTAAATTAGATTTGCAATTTATTTAATAACGTGCTGTAGAGATTGAATTTCCAAAACGAGAACATTAATAATAAATCGGGGCGCAGTCTTCTTTGTAGGTGCTGGTGTGTTTATTCGGCTATCCGCTTTTACAAGTTGAAGTGAAACTTTCAAACTTTTGTAAGCAAAACACTCAATTTTCACAGGCCCTATTTATCGGAAACTCTTGAAAAGTATGTCCTGTTATTTGGACAAAGAGCAGTTTGTGTTTAGGCTACGTGATTACCAAGTTCCATTGGAATCGGAGACTCGAACGACTGGCCCCCTCCTTGTCAGAATTACTTAATGTATAGGTAAAAGAACGAAAAAATTATTAGTGATTATTTCAGAATTTATCAGAGAACTCTCGTTTATTAAATGCAATTCTTGACTGTGTGAAACACGAAGCATACGAAGAATCAAAGAAAGCAATGGTTTTGATTACTTGTGTTCCATTTAACTTGAAAAGGAGAAATATTAAAACGTTAGAAAAATATTTATAGTATATTTGATGTCTCAGATTAGAGACGGGAGATGCTTATAACAGAAAATATTTCCTTGGAAAACAGAACGATACACATAAATAATTTAACACAGGCTAGAAAACAAAAAGTTGCATATTTTAAAGGCGATATACTAATGTTGAGAATGCTCACAAGGATAGTAAGAAACTAGAGGAATACGTTTGTGCAACCAAAGAAAACTTAAAGGCGTTGTGGTTGAGCCTTTTGAAAATTGGTTATTTGAAGTATGTTGGAAAAAGAAAGCGTTTATTTTTGTTTACATTAAGTTAGAATTGATATTTATGTTAAGCAATACATGTTAGTGGAGATATTGTATGATAGTTGTTATCAGGAAGAGGAAATATATTTGATGGACGTTTTCAACGGAAGAATAGAGACTTTCAATAAGATGGTGTTAGCCCCTTAATAGATTGTTATATTTATATTTCTGAAGATAAATGTATTAATAAGATTGAATTGAAGTTAGTATGTCAATTGAAAAGTTCGATGGTTGTAAATGGGGCAGTCAAGAATTATGCGCAGGGTAAACATACTTTTATTTTATACTTGGTTAAGAGTGATTGATTATTTGTGTATAAACGGCTTAGCCGCAAAGAATTTAAAGTGTTCTAGTACAACTGACTGTGCTGAATCCGATCATATGACGCTGTACTTAGAAACCACTGCTACGAGTTTGAAAAAAGTTTATCACAGACAATCGGATAAGATCAGAAAAAGATGGATGAAGGATTGAGTGGAGTTTTTTGTAAGTGAAATGCATATAAGCTGGAATAGTTAGTTTGATTTCAAGATAACAGAGACGAAAGTGCTAACAAGGTTGATGCTGGGTATAATAGAGAAACTGAGAGATTGAGAGAAAAAGAGATTACGCTCATTCAGGCATGAACCAGAGTAGTTTCATAATTTATGTTCGGAAAAGTAGAGTGATATGAGAAATAAGCTGAGGAAATGAAAGCGATTGGGTAAAGAGTGGAAATTAAAAGAGTGTTATGAAAACTTTTTAGAAGTTTTTTAAAAGCAAAAAAGAATATCTGATTAATTTTAATCGACTGTTTACAAGTTGTAAGTCAACCAAACCTTTTTGGAGTATATTCGTAAATTGAAAGATAACGATGGATTGTATTTTGCGAATAATATCAAAACAAAATTTCAAAATGCTACTATTTAGTTATAATTGAGATAAATAAATCATTAGTTATTACACCTGGAATATATTCGGAAAGTTGAAAAATAGGTCGAATAATTTCAGCTTTTATATCAAGAGACTTAAATAGCCGGAGCAATTATCGAGGGATAACGTTATTAAAAATTGTTAATTAATTAATTAATTAATAAGTGTTTTTTTTTTGGTGGTTCTTTGTAAAAGGCTTTTATTCTGGACTGAGAAAGAGAGTATCTTATTTGATATGCAAGCTGGTTTTTGTAAAAAGTGTACTACAGCGGGACATATAATTGTCTCGCGGAATTAGCTAAAAGAAAGAATGGAAAAACAAAATAAAGAAAGTATACATATGCTTTGTGGACTACAGAATTGCGTCTGATTCGGTGAATCATATGAAATTATGTAATAGGTTATGCGACATGAATCTGAGCTATAAAATGGCGAATTTACTAAGTTCAACGTATACAAATCAGATTGCATTGAGGTTCTTTAGTGCAATGTCCGTAAAAAGTTTTTAATCTAACAAAGGAGTTCGCCAATGGTGTCTATTGAGCACATTATTGTTTTCTTTATATATATTGATGATTCAGTAACGAGATTGGATGAATTTATTGCCGAAAGTTAATGGTTTATGACTAGGCAATAACACATTAAGGTTCTGATGACGTGGTAATGGTGGCTGATAGCCGTTAGAATTACAATTGGAAATTGATGGTTTGCTAAGAGATTTCAAATTAATATTTTTTAAAAAAACCAAGATTCTGGTCTCTCAAAACAAACGTAATAGCTTTTGGATAAAGAAATTGAAATGGTCGAAAAATATATGTATTTGAGCGTATAAATATATTTTTAAAATAAAATAAATTTAACCCCGAAGATTTATATCAGAGTAAAATGTCTTTATGTATTCTTTACAAATCTCGATAGTCTGAGCTGTGTGGGGAAACTTATAATTCCAAAATTATCGCTGCTCAGACGCGATAACTCGACGAAATCTCGCCCGATTTTTATTAAACTCGATAGGCCTATATTAGTATAACAAGTATTATTGATTAACTTTACAAGAAAAATCTATCAAACATTTACGTAATTGTCAGAAATAAACATGTAAACAGTCACTAACAATCACATTTACGTCAACAGATGGCCTCAACTAGATTATTTATAAGTTAAATAAAAAAAATTAAATTTTTACCTGCCGTATCTTTTCGAACAGGATATAAAAATAGAGAGTGAAGATTATGCTTTTCTCTGTAACCGTCGATTGCCATCACCGCACCAAAGAAAAATATTTGATAAATATAGTCGAATAACACGGAAATGGCGCTGTATATACTGAAGATACGAATGTTTCTATAAGGAGTTATAACTCCTAAAATGAATGATATAAAATTGGTTAATGAGGTTATCGTTATGGAAATAGAAACATCAGAAAAGGTTTCACTCATTCTTTGTTTGACACTGTGGTTTCTATCCGTTCGTCTCCAAGCAGCCAGCAATACGAAAGAATCGTCCATCCCAATGCCTTCAAAGAGAAATTTGATTAATAAATTCTCTAAAAAATTTTTTTAAAATTTAATTACTGAAATTTAATAGCTTCTAACTCTATACAAGTTACCATGACAAATTTCGTTTATTAATCTTTGTTCTTTCCTAAGATATTAAACGAAATAGACGTCAACACACACATACGAAAACTTTTCCTGTTTTTTTTTCACTTTTCGGGGTTCAAAACATTTGCAAAATTTTTTCGATTTTTTCGATTGTGTTTCGATTTGCTACGATCCCAATACTTTTCCTTGTTATGTATATGTTAGGGCCAAAGATCGGAAACAATCGCTGAACGAAAAATCAACCACAACGAATTTTGACATCCCAGATCCACCCACAATGCGAATTTCGAGTCGTGTCACTTTCAAAAATGCGCACAATGAGTTTGTCACATATAATAAGACCACAAGGCAAAATTCGTATCGAGATTCTTTTAATTAATAATCAACCAAACGCTATCTGCCAACGTGAAAATGTCACAACGCGAAATTCACATTGTGGCTGTATGTGATAATTCAGAACCGGATTTTGTCGAATTTTTCGTTCAATGAACGTTTTAGGTCTTTGAATCTAACATAAAGATAACAGCCGGGAAATTAACATTATTGATATTTTATAATTAAAAATTGAAAGCAATTTTGCTCGTTTATGGAAATAACAATTGTTCCAATGAGTTTACCTTTGCAATGTTGTTGTTTATATTCTTTGAAAAATTTGTTAATTATAAGAGAATTTTTTGTTTTTTCAAAATTACGAAATAGATATATAAAAATCAAAGATATTAGAATATATTAAAATCTCCTAAAAAACTATTTGTACTTTATTGCGGATCGGTAATTGAGAAATTTTACGCGGAAATCTCGGAAAGAAACATTACTTAATACAGTCTTAATAGATTTCACATTGGTAAAATTCTATTTATAATATAATCTTGAAATGCTAATTTGGAAAGAGACAATTTTGCATTTATTAAAAAGAAAATGGCTACTTACCTATGGTCAGGAAAGCAACAGCAACGTTCGCATCAACGTATTCTACATTACAATGTAACAGTAAACCGAAGGCAGCTACTGTTCCCAGCAAGGGACTGAAATAGGCAGCAATTCCAATCAACGGTTTACTTCTTACAGCATCGAACGTTAAACAAGACGCGAAAGAGAATGATGTCATAATGACTCCAGAAATAAGTAAAAGTGGGAAACTTAACTCGGTGTTTCTGTTCGCTTCTACGTCGTTAGTTTGTCCAGCGTACGTAAAAAATTCAATATGTTGAAGCTTTACATTGGTTAACGTCTCCAAAACTGCTCTTTCCCATTTTAAAGCCAACTTTCCTTCTCTTGAGTTATTATCCAACAAGTAAATCAGACGGAATGCTTTGAAATCTTGGACGTAGCCGTCTTCATTTGTTGATACTCCTCCGAAATTTACAGCAGTTAATTCTACTTGGAATTGTTTTCTGTCGTAAGGGTATCTTTGTAAAAAGGAAATGGAAATGTATTGTTAAAACTAAAAGAAAGTAAAAAAAAAATGCTGATAATTCTTCAGTAACATATTAATTATATTAAAGTGCATTTAAAAAATAATTTTACTAATGAAAAAAATCCTTCATTTTATTGATATAAAAAATGTAAATTTATGATACTGTATTTATATACTTAGATGCTAAGAAATTTTATATTTATATATTGGAAAATACTTTCAGTATGAAAATATGTATTATTTATCATTAATTATATTATCAAAATCGGCTACTTGTTTTTGTTTTTTAATTTCGAAGTGAAAATATTATTTCATTTGAGGTTTGGTCGACTAATCTTGACAACTTTACAATGTTTTTTTGTATATTAATTAATAATTAAATTTTATTGTTTTTAAGTTTTGTGTATCAGAAATAGTACGTGCAAATGTATATATACATCTTTATATATATCAGCAATAAATAAATTGAAGCGAATTCATAAACTTCGCTGCATTGAATTATTGAGCTTACTCAGATTTTCGTTAACAGAATGAAAAAATAATTCATAAAAAGTTAATATTTTTACAAAGTAAAACCGAGTTTAGAACTAAAAACTTTAAAAAGTAATCTTGTTTTATCGAGAAATATTGGCCTAAAATCACTTGTATATTATCTATGCGGCTGAAGTTTTAAAACGTCATCCATTATGTGAAATATCGAAAATAGTAAGTATAAATAAATATAACCAAATGTAGAATTTAATCATGCCTGTGTATAAATTCACAACAATGATGTACAGTCGACCCCCTATAACACTGTTGATTATTCCGTTTTATATGAATTCCATGTTATGCGAGTCGCTTAAATTTTACAAATATGTGTGCCGTGCTATGAACGGCTCACGTATTTGTAAAATCTAACTGACTCGTACAACATAGAATTCATATAAAACGGAATAATCAACAGTGTTATAGGGGGTGTATACGGTAAAGTTGCTCTACTCCATCAATCCTCATCCAATTCTCAAAAATCATGACCAATAAAATAGGCCTACTTATTTTTATTTTTTATTTTTTAAATATAGACTTATTAAAATTATTTACTCACTAGACTTATAAATACTACTATTTTTAATATTCTTTTGATTTATTTGAAATGTATATATCGTAATATAGGCTATATCATACGAAATAATACCAAAACTTTTCCTTGTACGATATACAATCAAAAAAACAATACCTCATAAACTTTCTTCCCTGTTTAAAATCTTTCATTCTTCTCATTAAAAAGGAAAGGTAATTGCTCGGACATCGATTTTGTTTGTTCCGAATACAGAGATCTTCATAGCGTAAGAAACTATTATTCCAAAATACGCTAACATTTCGAACAATTTTATCCAGTTTCAGCAAATCTAATACAGCATTATTATTCAAAAAGGAATCGTTATTTTTAGATAATGCTATAACGAATACCGCATTCTCAAGTCTAGACATTCTGGTAAAATCAAGACTAGCAGACGTATTCAAAGTAAAAATTGTTTCGACGGAATTCCTTTCTATTTTTCCTCTTCCATTAATCGGAGTATACAGATAATCAGCATTCTTCACAATACGTAATTTGAAGAATCCAGTTGCCAGGACAACTGTTGTCAACACGAAAGCAAAAATGTAGAACTGAGGATAACAACCGATATGATATCCAATTCGAGAAAAACAATGAGAAAAGTTGCTTTTGATATTCTTCATTGTTATTCTATAAGAAAAGTATTAAATATTAATACTGACTTTTATCAATATGTTAAAATTTATCTATTTAATAATAACAACATAAATATTTACAATTTATGAATTTACAAACCTGCATATTATATACTGTATAATTAATATGTTAATATATAATATAAGGTGGATATTGGACTGGATATTTGATTAATAAACAGCATATATAAATAAACTAGATGAGCCCGGGCAAAATATTATAACTATAAAGTCTAAAATTATTAGATTATTTCGTACTTCTTACCCTTATATTTATATCTATATCTATATCTATATCTATATATATATATAAAAATGGACATGTATGTCCCTATATCTCACTTTTTCGCCAAAACTACACATCGCACGTGAATGGTGTTTGTATGCGGTGGTAGCCCCAAGTCTCCATTCGTGCATAGGGATGGTTGCGTCTCGATAGCTATAAGGGTGCGGGAGATATGAGGCTGAAAGTGGTTGAAAGTGGCTTTCTATTTCGAATGTTTTGTTCGAATTTGTTCGAATTAAATTCGAACATAAAATTCGAATATTGGTTCGATTATAGAACGATTGTAAACGTTCCAGAAACGTTGAAAATAGTTCGTTTGACTAAAAGAAAAAATTCTCTAATTAGTCTGGAAACGGGGGACCTAATTCTTGCATTCTGTGAAAACGGGTAAGATTGGCTATAATGTAATTATCTTAATCTTCACTATCGTTACTTTTTAAAAACCCAGCGAAGCGGGTCCTTGCAGCTACTTATATTATATTATTTGATTTATATAACTACTGATGTTATCTTAAGTAAGGGTTTATCACACCAAGTGACAAATCTAACACATTTTAAAATTCTTATAACCTTTGTAGTTATATAATTTAAATACAGTACTATAATGTAAGAAATATCAAAACAAAACCATAAAGAAGAGTTTCGTTACTTCAGCCTACTATTATGACAATGGTACTGTACGTTTATCGCGATATTCGGATGGTACGAAATGGCATAATTTCATCATTCAAGTAGACACCAATAGAAAATACATCTTGAAAAATTTACGATATCATATTTTTTTTCCCAATGTCAACTCTAAGACACAGTACTATTCGCAACCGAATATCAATTGGTAATCTGCCAACGAATCAAATTTCGCGAAAAACGGACAAAATATTATAATAAATTCGGTACCCTCGAAAACCACTTAAACCATATTTTATGCTTTCAGGCAACCTTGTATAAGATAATTTTCCTATTCGAATGTCACCATACTTGTGGTCCGATAGAAAGAAGGAACTGTTACGAAAGGGGATCAAAACAATTTGACCAAAATTAGTCGTTGACCTCTTTCCGGAAGAGAGGGTGGACAACGACTACTAATTAATATCGGTCTACTATTAATATGTGAAAAGTGATCCGTGTTACACAGGTTGTGATGTCCCCGCACGTGATCGAAGTCGCTAACCTTAACGCTTGAAAAACCATACGACTTATAGGGCCGCAATTTAAAAAAATTGTACATCTATAAATTTCTACTGTCGTCTGTCTACCTGTTTTTCCTTAATCTAGAGAATGGAGTTAGATATATGAAAGACAGGATAAGATATAGAAAGCGTGGGGACAGGAAGCCCCGATTAACTATATCGTGTGATTTCAATTCTAATGTTTTCCCCACAACGAAGTTAACAGATGACCGGCATGATTCTATTGTTAAAGGAAAAGTACGATGTACACAGGCAAGACGCTAATATTTTGAGTTAGAAAGCATATACTTTAAATTAAATAAATTAAAACAGTAATTATTTACTGCGACATCGTTACAATTCCTGGCTGCAATTTTAAATTTATTAAATTTAAAGTACATGTTCTCTAACTCAAAATATTAGTGTCTTGCCTGTGTAGACCATACTTTTCTTTTAACAATAGAGTCACACCCAGTCAGATGATCTTTAATTTTAATTTCCATTGGAGGAGATTGAGGGAAATTTAAAGGTATAAATAGGAAGGACGTGCTAAAATCAGTGCACCTTTTTTTTTTTTTTTTTTTTTTTTTTTTTTGTAATCCCAATTTTTAAAAAATCAAGCTAAAATCAGTGCACCTTTTTTTTTTTTTTTTTTTTTTTTTTATTAGATAAGTGCACCACTCCTATGGGAGTATAACCTATGCGGCAGAACTTTTTAAAACGTCATCCATTATGTGAAATATCGAAAATAGTAAGTATAAATAAATATAACCAAATGTAGAATTTAATCATGCCTGTGTATAAATTCACAACAATGATGTACAGTCGACCCCCTATAACACTGTTGATTATTCCGTTTTATATGAATTCCATGTTATGCGAGTCGCTTAAATTTTACAAATATGTGTGCCGTGCTATGAACGGCTCACGTATTTGTAAAATCTAACTGACTCGTACAACATAGAATTCATATAAAACGGAATAATCAACAGTGTTATAGGGGGTGTATACGGTAAAGTTGCTCTACTCCATCAATCCTCATCCAATTCTCAAAAATCATGACCAATAAAATAGGCCTACTTATTTTTATTTTTTATNGTTTGTTTGTGTAGTATTAGTAAATCTGCAGCTACCAATTATAAATGAGTGAAATTTTTTTATTGTGAAAACACTATAAAAACTTGATACTGTTTACACTTAATACTTAAATACTATTTACAATTGAAGGTAAACAATAATTAAAGTAGAACATTTGCATGTTCTCTAATAGTGAATAAATGAATGTCTCATTTTTTTTCCACTTTAAGGGTTCAAATGGAGAAGAAACCTTTCGCATTTTTCTCCTATGTGTTATGTAAATATTTTCCACCAGGGCGGCGCGCGAGTAACTTGCACTCGGACTCTATGAGCTTCAAAATAAATAAATAAAAATAGATTTTATCAAACGATGAGATCAGCAGATTAATTGTATCGTGTACAATATTTTACACACCCAACGAAAATACTATACGTGTAGGGTAAAATAAATTTCGTTTTCCCACGGTTAAACTTCGCTGCTAATTGCTGTTGTGATAACTTTAATATGATCTTCTAACGACAGCACATTTCTTTTGTTTTTCGGACATTTTCCAACAAACAAATGAATTTCTTTTGTTGCTAGACTAATTTATTAACACCTGCACTTAATTTCGAGGGTGGGAGAAGTGCCCGGGATGGGTTCGAACAAGAGTTTAGACTAATTTATTATATTAGGAGGGGGAAACGTTGTTGAGATGGGTTCTTACAATAGTTTAGACCAGATACATTCGCGAAAGTGGTCGCTTATTACAGGTGTTATATGTTGTT